CACATGTAGTTCCATTACTCTAGAAATGCATCGCTTTCTCAGGAAATTTCAAGGTAGTAATTCATCTAAATTGCAGTCATCAAGAGAAACTCGACTGATGCGACTCACTTTTTTGTTATTTCTTGTTTGATGAATAAAAGAGACAATTACTGATTTCATGGTAAACCACTAACAGGGCTTAACTCATAGCTCTAATTGAACACGCTCCTATACGATCTCAGTCCCAAACTTGAATAAACTAGCGCAGCAGCCCATGGTTTGACAAATTTTTAGTCAAGCACTGACTGTGACAATTCGATTAAAATAAAGATTATAGATTATCCTTTTGTAAGTAAAATAAACATGATCAAATCTAAGAAAGAAAAATTTCATATAATTTATCAATTCTAAATTGATAATAAAAATTGATTAAAACTTTGTGTTCAAGGTTTCTATTGCTTTGACTTTCTTAACGACTAAGTCGAACAAAATTTATCATTTTCCAATGGAAGCAAATAAATCACACTATGCAATTCAGCACAACTTTTCCACCAAATACTCAGATTATTTTCATCCCTCCAATACAAGCAACCTGAACTTAATACCCTATGTAAATCACTAGTTTAAATATTCAAATTCACCAATCTGATTGATCTATGATAATTTTAAATGCCACATTGGTTTCCAAGACAATCACGCGCACAACTTCCAAGGAGTGAAAAGTGATGTTAATTTTCAGACCTTGTCTTCTTCAGGATTCTCTGAATTGAAAATATCATTCTTGTCACGGAGCAACTTGTTTAGCTTTGTTTTCAGTTCTTCCTTGTTTTCAGAAACCTGAATGGCATAGAAAAAATTAGAAGATAATCGAATTTGTTTAAAACTAATAAGAAATACATGCTGTATGTGAATAACAAAGTTAAAGAAAACTATCAACACCTATCAGCAAACCTAGACAATTTAAGTTCATGAGATACAACCTAGCCCTAAAACTGGCTGGAGTAGGAATACATTAAAATGTCTCTCCTGAAGCAGGAAAACATACTTCAATTTCAAGGCTATTCTCAGCTTCAACTATTGCAGATCCTATCGTGGCCTCGGAACTCAAACGTGATACTTTTTGCGCACGGACAACAGTCCTTTTAGCATCAGAAGTCTCAGACTGCTCATTCTTAATGTCAAGGATGGAAAGACCAGAGGTGGCCTGCCCAAGCTGATCAGGTCTACAAGATTTTGAAGCTCCTCCTTGTTGATAGGGAGAAGGTGAAAGACCCGCAGCTAGACGAGAACCATGGAATCGAGCTACTGGAACAAGAGAGTTCGGTTCAGCTTGAGGTGTAGAGTCATCTCCTCTTTTTGCCTGCGCCTTATCACGCTTGATTCTTTCAGATTGTCTCTGAATACACCATAAAATAGTAGAGTGAAGATCATTTTATATGCAAGGGATCAAGAACTAGAGGTATTGCGTCCTAGAAAGAAGAAAAACACTTTTTCCCCTGTGAAAGAAAGGCGCAATAAGAATAAATAATGACCTTTATCCAAAAAAAGAGTAATAAATGATACAATTGCCAGTTACAAAATAATTTCAATTAAAATAGAATGGTTAACTGCAGAATAAATCATAGAACATTGATGCTTTGTATTTATAGCTATAAAATCAAGTAATATACAGTAAAAGTAAATATATTAATTCATCTCTATTTTAATGATATACAATTGAAAATTGATCTTAGTGCCACAAAAACTGCTACTAGGATTCTTCACGTGAACCTTTTCCCCAAAAAGAGGACAACAAAATTCACTAGCACTATCCTCCTTTTTTCTTTTCCCTGTTCTTCATTTGCTTTTGATGGATGAGGACTGCAAAGAGCATTGATAAAAACCTTCTATGTTTAAGATACTAGTCATCTCTACTATCAGAGAAACATGCCACTTAAAACCAAAAATAGAAAACAGTAAAGCTACAATGTCCTTTAATTTTTTTCAAAGGGAGGTGAAAAAGCAGTAAATGGTCAGACAAGAGCAGACCTGATGTAAGCGAGATCTCTTTTGGAATATCTTATCTTCATATGATCCTACCGCCTGAATAAAAGATTCTACCCTGCCAAGGTTTGGCTGAAAAAGAAGCAAAAGAGGCAAATCAAAAGGTTAAGTACAATTTGCAAGAATAACTAGGTAGACAGGCTATAACAGGCACATATCTAGATTAAAGGGTCACCGATCAAAGGAGTAACCAAATACCTGGCTTGCATCAGTCAGATACCCTCCCAAAGACCTAAACTCCTTCTTATAAACAGCCATCAACAAGTTTATTGCGCCCTGATAAGGAAGAGGACAAAGAAGGACGATGATTATTATGACGAGTATCCTACAACTGGTTTGCCAAAGAAACTTGAAGAACAATGTTGAGGTTTCTTAGAGCAAAAAACAATCTCATTCGTTCATAAACATAATACACGTTCTCCAAAAATCAAACTTCAAGAAAAAACACTCATCCGTTTATCCTACGTTTTTGAAGCATGTTGTATTTCATCAAATCGTATGACAAGGTTCCTAGAGAGGTTGGTGGAACAGCATAGGGAGAGGAAGAAGGATCTGCACATGATGTTGATTGACCTGGAGAAAGCGTATGACAAGGTTCCTAGAGTGGTTCTCTGGAGATGCTTGGAAGCAAAAGGTTTGTTGGTTGCCTACATTAGGGCGATTAAAGACATATATGATGGAGCTAAGACACGGGTTAGGTCAGTAGGAGGCGACTCAGAGCATTTTCAGGTTGTCATGGGATTACACCAAGATTCTGCGCTCAGCCTGTTCTTATTTTCCCTGATGATGGACGCACTCACACACCATATTCAAGGGGAGGTGTCATGGTGTATGTTATTCGTTGACAACATAGTTCTGATTGATGAGACGCGAGCCGGTGTTAACAAGAGGTTGGAGGTTTGGAGACAGGCCCTTGAGTCAAAGGGTTTCAAGCTGAGCACGACTAAGACGGAATACTTGGAGTGCAAGTTCAGCGTCGAGCCGAGGGAAGCGAGCGTGGATGTGAGGCTCGAATCACGGGTCATCCCAAGTAGAGGCAGTTTCAAATACCTTGGGTCGGTTATCTAGGGGGTAGGGGAGATCGACGAGGATGTCACACACCGCATTGGGGTGGGATGGATGAAGTGGAGGTTAGCATCTGGAGTCTTGTGTGACAAGAGAGTGCCACTGATACTCAAAGGTAGGTTTTATAGAGCGATGGTTAGGCTGGCGATGATGTATGGGGCTGAGTATTGGCCTATTAAGAACTCACATATCCAGAAAATGAAAGTAGCAGAAATGGGGATGTTGAGGTGGATGTGTGGGCACACTAGAATGGATAAGATTAGGAATGATGATATTCAGGAGAAGGTGGGTGTGGCTCCCATGATGACAAGATGCGGAAAGCGAGGCTCAGATGGTTCGGGCACGTACAGAGGAGAAGCTCAGATGCTCTAATAAAGAGGTGTGAACGACTAGCTTTGGAAGGCACGAGAAGAGGTAGAGGTCGGCCTTAGAAGTATTAGGGAGAGGTGATCACGCAGGACATGGCGAGGCTTCACATTTCCGAGGACATGACCCTTGATAGGAAGTTGTGGACGTCGAGTATTAGGGTTGTAGGTTAGGAGGTAGTTGAGTCTTTTTCTATTTCGTACCTTTGTGAGGCTAATTTTTGTCTTAGACTGCTAGTGGTTATGTTGTGTCTTACTACTCTTTCGTTTTTCATAGTGTTGGGTCTTTTTACTAGCTATCGCTTTTGCTTTTCATCTATTTTTTGGTCTTTATGATGATGTTGTTATTCTTATGTATCTGTTGGTGGTATTGATATTGTCTCTTTTCGTCTTCTTGAGTCGAGGGTCTCTCGGAAACAACCTCTCTACCCCCTCGGAGTAGGGGTAAGGTCTGCGTACACACTACCCTCCCCAAACCCCACTAGTGGGATTTTACTGGGTCGTTGTTGTTGTTGTTGTCGTATTTCATCAAAAGATTGGGTCACTAAGTTCATCCCTAATCCCTCCACAATGGATTACAAACCAAGGGAGCTCAAGAACTACATTGGTGTGACTTATTTATCCTAACACCCATATATTGCATCAAGGTTCAATAATCCAGAATTTTTCCTATGGTTCTGCCCGATACATGACCTTTCTGTGCATCAAAAATTGAAGGGCCGATGATAGTAACCAGAAGTAGATAATAGAAGAAATAGAATACAGAAGTTAATATTAATGGCAATAGTTTGTGCAAGAATCTTAAGCACAATTACACCTATAAATTTGTCTGTATGGAGAGGACAAGGCTCCAAATAAAGTACTTTTACTTCTGATAGAACATGTCTAAATAACTAGTACTAATTACATATTTATAGAACCACATAGTAAGATAAGATCAAACAACTAAAAACTAGGAATATACTAAACTGCTGGAGCAGTTCCAAAGAGCAGTTTTTGGTTGACAGTTTCATCAGATATGCATTTCAAAAACTGCAGCAGTTGTNTCAAGTATCTTCCATGCCATCCTGTTGGAGAATCATGCGCCTCTGCTAAAATCTTGGCTTTGAGCTCAGGATAATCGGGAATAACCAGCCGAGATTTGTAATAAAGATGGTTAGCAGACAACGAAAAATCTGGATGAGTTGAAGGATCAGAAGAAAGTTGATCTCGAATCTGCTTAGTATATGGATCAGCTTCAATTTCTTCTCTCAAATCACTGAAGTCTAATGGAATAGGCATCACCAAAGTAAAAAAATCAGCATGTTGAGGGCGACGGGATAAGGCATCAGCTCCTTTGTTTTCACTTCCAGACTTATAGACAATAGTGAAATCAAAAGACAACAATTTAAGCAACAACCGTTGTTGTTGAGTAGTAGTCACCCGCTGATTCAAGAGGTATTTGAGGTTGTAATGGTCAGTGGTGACAATAAAATGCTGACCCAGAAGATAGTGCTTCCATTTTTGCAATGCAAAGACCAAAGCTAATAACTCGCGATCATAAGTAGATTTAATGTGATTAGAAAAGGAGAATCCCTTACTAAAATATGCAATGTGATGGTACTGTTGCAGTAGAATAGCCCCTACTCCATCAGATGAAGCATCACACTCAACTATAAATTGTCGAGTAAAGTCGGGAAGACGAAGCGCTGGAACTGATGTCAAGATCCTCTTAAGATTTTGAAAAACCTCTTCTACCTTTGCATTCCAGTGAAAAGCACCTTTCTTGGTCAATTCTGTTAAAGGACGAGCAATGATCCCATAGTTCTTAACAAACCGCCTGTAATGCCCTGTGAGACCTAAAAAACCGCGAAGTTCCTTGACATTTTTTGGCACAAGCCATTCCAAAACAGAGGATATTTTGTCCGAATCCACGGCTACTCCATCTCGGGAAATCACATGGCCCAAAAATCCAACTTGGGGTTGTCCAAATAGACATTTTTTTGGATTAGCAAAAAAAAAATTAACGGAGAGAAGATGAAGGACTGTTTGCAGGTGGTGTTGGTGTGTTTGAGGGTCAGGACTATATATTAGAATATCGTCAAAGAAAACCAGGATGAATTTTCTAAGATATGGTCTGAAAAGATCGTTCATGGAAGCTTGGAACGTGGATGGTGCATTGGTGAGCCCAAAAGGCATTACAAGAAATTCGTAATGGCCTGAATGAGTGCAGAAGGCAGTTTTATGGACATCATCAGGTTGGACTCGGATTTGATGGTATCCTAAACGTAGATCAATTTTTGAAAAAATAGTAGCTCCATGTAACTCATCCAGTAATCAATATTGGGTATGCGATATTTGTCTGGTACAGTGATTTTGTTAAGGCTACGGTAATCCACACAAAACCTCCAAGAATCACCTTTCCTTTTCACTAACAGAACTGGGCTAGTAAAAGATATTGAGCTAGGACGAATGAAATCGGAATCTAATAAAGCAGAAACTTGGTTCTCAATTTCAGTCTTTTGGCTATGTGGGTAACGATAAGGTCTTATGTTTGGAGGTTTAGAATTTGGTAACAGAGGAATAGCATGGGAATATGTTCTAAATGGTGGAAGAGAGGTCGATTCAGAAAACAGACTGAAACTCATCTAAAAGTGTCTGAATTGGATTACCTGGATTCTCTGATAACTTGTTAAAAGATTGGAGGGAAGCCACAGTGAAATTCGCCGACTCACCCCTTGTAGTTTGTAGCGTTTCCCTTGCCAATTGAAAATTATAAACATATTCTTCCAGTTAGCTTGAATAGTGTTAAGAGAAGCTAACCATTTGATACCAAATACCAAATCAGCCCCTCCAACTGCAAAAGGAAGTGATCCTGAGTGATGGTTAAGCCTGGCAACTGAATTTGAAGATTCCGACAAACTTTATTGCAACGTATGATGCCCTCATTCCCTATCTGCACACCAAATGTTGGAACATTTCTACTGGAAGTTTATGCTCTTCTACAATGGATTCAGCCACAAAGTTATGCGTGGAACCACTATCCAGAAGTATTATAACCTATCTCTGGTTGATTGCACCCTGAAGCTTCATTGTAGTACCAACTGAGTGTCCCAAAATGGCATGAAAAGAAATTTCAGCAATGTCAGTTTCTTGAGGGTCACCGTTGGTGGCGTTGATTTCATCAACATCATCTAATTGATCTCCTCCTGTAAGTTCCATGAGAGACAGTTTCGTAGATTTGCATCTATGACCTGGTGCAAATTTCTCGTGGCAACGATAACAGTCCCTGTGCCATGAGATTTCTCCTCTCGATATCCGATGTTCGTGTTTGAAGTGGTTGGGAGGTTGCTGGGTTGGTAGAAACACTGTTTGGTGAATTTTGATGTGCAGAGGAAGAAGCAACATTATTCAGGGCATTTTTAATAGAGTGCAATGGGTTTTGTGTAGTGGGTCTACTGGTTGGGGTCCAATTAGGCCCTCTATTGCTGCGAATTGAGCTTAATTTGTTTTCAAATTCAAGTGTCAAACTCATTGCTCTGTAAACTGTTCTGGGTTTGTGAATTCTAACATCAGATTTAAGTTCTTCCTTTATCCCATTTAAGAACACGCCTAACAAACAATGATCTGGCCAATTCGTGACTCTAGAAGAACGTTTTGCAAATTCTTGACGGTACTCCTGTACAGAACCTATTTGCTGGATGCTACAGAGATGCTCGTCCGGGTTTTGGAACTCCACAGGACCATAATTTTCTTGCAATGGTTCCACAAGCTCTTCCCAGTAAAGCAACGTCTGCTCACGATTAATCCAAGAGAACAGATCAAGAGCTTTGCCTTCCAGATACATTGTTGCAATGTCAACTTTGTGTTCTTCTAGAATTTGATAGTAGCAGAAATATT